TGCTCGCTGCCAAATGTCTGCATGAGTTCCCTCTGGTCAGGAGGTAGGTATGTTGCACCAGAGCTCTCTCGAATGAGCCGAACACAAAGTTTCAGTGGAATGGCATCTACATGCGCCAGTTCCGGCTCGCGCTTGAGAGTTCGTTCACGCATGCGAGGCACGAGTTGATCGCAAAGCTCGATTATGCGGTTGTCAAATCGCTCCAAGGGCAACTCAAGCAACTTGGAACACACATATAGTAATGGAGCAGATCTGGACGCATGAATGGGGAATGTTCGTGCAAGCATTTTAATAACCTCGGAGACAGTTCGATCATCTTGACTTTCCGTGATGGTCTTCCAGATCATATCCGTGTCCCGATCGGTGTAGGTATGGGTCATGATCAGAAATCCAAAGATGTTGCTCGTACGGGTAAGCAACTGGGGGTGAGAATCAATACCCACCAAATAATCGAGAATCTTGTGTTCACGGAGCAGCTTAACCAGATACCTCATGAGCACCATGGCAGGCTCTGGAGTGTTGGGAGGTGAGTTGTGAGTCCAGATGTTGACCAGATCCGTTTGCATAGCGTCCACGCCATGCACCCGAAGCTCCATGCGACCTTCCATGAGGTGTTTCTTCATAGCATCAAACTTCCATGCCCAAGTAACAGCCATCACCCGTTGGGCTTCGGGAAGATCTTCGGGCAATTCAATCCCCAAGTAGTTGGCAAGTTGGACCACGAATTTGTCATCGGCGGAGCAAAGGAAGTTGTAGGCACGGAAGACAGATCGGACGAGGTGTTCACTCACATCACTTGTAGCTAGTGGTGATTTCTTCGTGACATACTTCTCATGTTGCGTAGCGACAGCTCGCGTCATATCGAAGAATTCTTGCAAGCTGGGGGACGCAGGAGCGGAGTCCACTGAAGAGTCAGGGATACGAGACGAATTCTGATCTAGATTCACTCCAAGCAAGGCGCAGGCGCACATCGTGAGTTGTGGGAGATGTTGGAGAAGTTTTGAATGCGTCGGAACCAGGGAAGTAACCAGGGTAGCATAATCAAGCAACTGGCGAGATGCGTTGAATGGAGGCAGTGCAATGTCATCTTTCACTGAAGCAAGAAATTTATTCATAGCAATGCGACATTGAGCATCCATGGCACGGTAAAGCGGAACGTTGGAACTCTGTAGCATGTAGGGGAAGCAAGCGAGATAACGTCGAGAAGTCATCGTAACACCCTCCATGTCTGCATCGTCTTGAACCCGACTGAGAGATACAGTGTCAATGCGAACGAAGTGGAAGACAAGACGGGCATAGTCGAGCAGAAGCTCTTCGAGAAAGACCAGAGTGTCCTCGTCATCGTCCAATTGCAGAGGTCGTTGCCTGTACACAAGACGTTCCATGATGAATGGGAAATTTCCCCAGAATTCCGGTTCCTCCATGAAGGCCTCCAGTGTGACTCGATCCAGGTTGTTCACGCAGGTATTTAGCCATTGTTTCGTTGCAGCAAGTGCGATACCTTCGCGCGGGTGTCCTGCTCACGAGGTTAGTCCATGTCATGTCACATTGAGTGGAGGTCCCACGCACCATGTTCAATCATGTCGGCAATCGCCTTAAAGTTGTCTCGGGGTCTCATGTCTTCGTGTAGTTTGGGAAAAGAGTCGGTTAGAGGTACAATGTCTTCGTCCTCGACGACCTCCATGTCGCCTTGTTCGTTCAAAACCTCGGCGAGAGGCTTCCAGTTGGAGTGATTCGATTCTTGGTTCATATCTTCGGGGTCGGCGACTTCGATGTGAGGCGAGCCTTGGGAGGATGAAGAGTGGATGGATATGACGTTGGCGGATGCGGCATCGGAGTCGACTTGGAGCTCTGGGGCATTGTCTGGGAGCTGAGACTCGGCGGAAGGAAGGTCAAGGGCGGCGGGAGAGGGAGGAGATTTCATGTTAATGGTGAATTTGCTCGCAGGGCGAGCTGGATCATCGTCCATTTCCGAGGCAGGCGCGGATACAGGACGAGACATTCCGTCGAGCGACAAAGATGGGCTCACACGACTTCCACTGTCGAGGCGCGGACGCTTCCGGGTCGCTTGAGGATCGAGATCCTCCATGGAGTCGCGTACGTTGTCTTCGTTCAAGGGAGTGTCAGGTGGGGGGTGGTAGCTATCTGGCGGGGATACTGCCATGACATTTTCTGCCGGGGCAATGGTAAAGAGAAAGGGAGATGCGAAGTGAAAATGAAGAAAGAAGGAAAGGGTGAGGTCAGAGACGCGAGATAGAGAGAGGAAAACGAGGCAGTGAGCAAATGAAGTTGGATAAAGCGGTCGACAGCTTTTTTGGGGGACGCGCCTGAACCAGTGACGTTGCGCTGAGGAACGGGATCGGCAGGTTAACAAAGCAGCCTCCGCATCAGATTTGATTGCTGGGGCGTTTTTAAGTAAGAACCCTTGGAAGAATGTGTATCTTTATCTGAACTGTCAGGTTAATACTTTAGCTATAACTCGCTAGCTGCACTAGTTGGCGCTTATGTCTAATGTGCCTATGGACGGCGCTTAACGTTATACGTTATGTATCGGCTATGCTTGGCATGAACTGGTTCTTATAAGTTTACTACAATTGAATAGCTATCGTGCTACTTGCATTTTATCCTCTCTATATCTTATATCGGGCTAGCCTGCATATCATATATGTTACGCAGCTATTTCATTGATGTAAGCCTTTATAGATGCAAACAGATGCTCTAACTTATCCAATGCAAGATCCCATCTAGTAGAGTGAGCGATTATTCTGTCATTGTCGTTTCAATTCGACGGATGATCTTAGCTGGATTCCCAGCAGCGACATGGAAAGCAGGGACATCCTGTATAAGTCAGTATGATCTGATCCGTACATCTACCCATACATTGCTTTCTAGTCACTTCGGTATCAAAAGGTCTAAGAGTACATACCTTGGTCACCACACTTCCAGCTCCAATTGTTGCACCCTTGCCAATCGTAACTCCAGCAAGTACAATGACATTGCCCCCAAGCCAGCAGTCTTCCCCAATATGAATGGGCTTTCCAAACTCAGGACCCTCGGTTCCATTTCGTACAGCAGGATCAAGAGGATGAGTACCCGAGAATAAGTTAACATTAGGACCAAACATGGTACGAGCACCGATGGTAATAGGACAAGTATCAATGAAGACACAGTTAAAGTTGATAAACACTCCCTCGCCAAGCTTGATGTTGAACCCATAGTCTATCTTGACGGGCGCTTCAACCCAGGGCTCATTCCGAAATAGATCATCATCTGCGACAGGATCATCTAGTTTTGGCGGCAGAGGAGTCTTATCTTCAGTGATACTGTAGAATAAGTTAGTCGAATACAACCATAACATATTCCCAAAAGGGAACACACACACAACATCACTCACTCTCTCCACATTTCCACTAATCTCCGACGAGGCACTTCCTCCGAGTTATTAAACCGATTACAAGCCCATTTGCAGCGGGTCCGAGCTGCAATAAGATCTGGAGTAAAGGCGCGGTATAGCTCCCCGCGGAGCATCTTCTCTTTCTCAGTAGACATTATCCGGATCAAGTATCAAGGAGACATAAGCAGTCCACAGGTGTAGTACGAGCGGAGTTGACATTTATATCGGAGCTATGCCCGGACCATGTGGGGTGGATGTGTCATGGTCTTCGGGGGAACAATACAACCGCTAAGATTGTTCTCAAACAATGAACCTCCCACATAAATTGTCTTGAACCACCAGACATGCCAGCTCAATTCTCTGAACTCTGAGACATCCTTTCGAATCCCCGACTCCGTCTCACACAACTCCGCAATCCCACCTCCAATCGAACCTTCCAACAATGACAACAGCAAAAGCAACAGGCTCCGAGCCAACCTCAACCATGCCCCCAACCCAAAACTTCACACGCACGCACAGCGAACCAGGCTGGCACCCAAACCACACGCGCGCAACAAGCGCAACAAGCTCCTCCTCCGCATCCCTCTCCTCCGGCACCTCCACCTCCGACTACTCCGACACAAAGCCCGACGTCGACATCTCAAACTACCCAAACGGCAAAATGTCCCTGAGTGGAATCTCCCTGCGCGCAATGTTACTAGGAACAACCTTAGGCCTGACAAGCAGCCTCACTCTCCTCTTAGCCACAACACACCGCACACCACTGTGGCGCGTGCCCTTCTTCATCGCCGCGCTGAGTCTATTCCATTTCCTGGAGTTTTTCGTGACGGCGCGTTATAACACGCGCTACGCGACTGTTTCTTCGTTTTTGCTGTCTTCGAATGGGTGGGCGTATAACGTTGCGCATGGTTCGGCTGTTGTGGAGTGTCTAGTGTCGCACATTTTCTGGCCTGGGCAGTCAAGACTTGCGTGGATGCTTTCTGTTTCTGAGCCGTTCTTTGGTGGGGAGGTTTCGCTGCTGCTTGTTGGAGGGTTCGTGCTGCTGGTGATTGGGCAGGTTGTTAGGACGATTGCTATGGCGCAGGCCGGTGGGAATTTCAATCATCATGTGCAGAGTCGGCATCAGGAGGGTCATGTGCTTGTTAATTCGGGGCTTTATCGGTTCTTGAGGCATCCGAGTTACTTTGGGTTCTTTTGGTGGGGGCTTGGGACGCAGTTGGTTCTTGGGAATGTTGTTTGCTTTGTTGGGTATGCTCTCGTGCTGTGGAGGTTCTTTTCCAGCAGGATTAAGCGTGAGTATTCTGATTCCTATTTTGTTTGTGGGTTGACTGTTTTGCTGACTGGTTTCTATCTCTACAGGCGAGGAGGCTTACTTGATTTCTTTCTTCGGCGATGCGTACGTTCAGTACAGGAAGGATACCCCCGTAGGAATCCCAGGCATTTGATTACATGAAATCAAAGTACATATGTTTTGAGCGAATACAAAGGCCTTGTTTGAATATTTACGCAGCTGCGCTCGATTCACTAGATAGCTGGTATATGGTATAAGAAGTGATCTACCCGTAGGCATGCTGGCTCCATCTCCAGGCCGCGTACGTTGTCATCATTATAGCTTACTCTCGGGTGCAACACCACCGACTGCACCACTCATATAAGGTCCACTGTCATCTGAGTCACCGGCGGTCTCGGCTCCAAAGAGGACAAGCTCACGCCCACCCTCCGTGCTCCACCAAGTGACACAGCAGTGAGCACGGTCAACGTCCATCTCGCCGCCGGCGAGAGCTTCCCAGAACCGATCGATGCAAGTGTGGCGCATATTGCGGTCAGAAATTGCATTGATCAGTTGTGCCGCCAGGGGCAGCCACTCCTTAAGATCGTCGACTCGGAGGAATGAAAGAGAATCAAGAAGAGCCAAAGTGAGGACAGCTTGTTCAGAGAGAGGTGGGCTTTGACTCAAGTCGGGATTTGGTCCTTGGGCCGGGATGGGTGTGGAGGAAGCATTTAACGCGCGGTTATGAACCACTTCGAGCAGGACGGAAGGCAGGAGGGGTTGGCTATTCGCTAAAGGTGAGGGAGGTGCTGTGATTTGGATGACGGTTTTGAAAGCGAGACGGAATTGGCGTGCAGAAAGGTTGTTGGGGAAGACCTGTACGGAATTAGAAGCTGCTTCCATTCAACGAATGGGTGGGACTTACGGCAAATAAATTATCAATATAAAAGGGGAGGTGCTTGGCTGCTAGTTCCGAGTTATGGGGAATGGCGAAGACGACAAGCACCAGGCTGTGAGCAGCTTCGAAAATCTCCAGCAGAAGGTTGTTGGCACCGGCTGTGAGGTATGGGAATGCCGCCGATAGGAGTAGCTCTTCATTTGTCCCGGGAGATAGAACAAGAGGGAAATGCTCCGCAGCATTCAAGAAGAAAAGATCCAGACATCGTTCGACTGGATGAGCCGGGATCTGTCCAATCTCGCTGGGCTTTATACTTCGCAAGAAGTTCTCAGCAAGATCGGGGTATTGTGAAAGGATGTCGATGGCTGCCAGCAGTACAAAGGTCTGCTGCGATGAGGCATTCTGACCGATCCGAGAAGAGATGAAGTACATGTTGCGAAGGGTATGAAGAGCTTGCATCGACAGATACGGAGCACCTAAATGGAATATGAGTATTAAGCCAAGAGTAATGATTCGATAGTAGCTTACTACTGTTGGCAGCAAGAGCCGGATCATTGATGGTTCTTCCTAGGACGGCCCTGAGGGCGATAACCACCGAGTATAAGCAATTCCGCAACATTTGCCAAAGCGCAGGAAGTGTTTTTTCGCGCGATTCGGCATCGAGGAACTCAACTTCCTCTGCAACATCAATCTCGGACAACTTGTTTTGTCGCCATTGTACCATCAGGGTCCGAACAAAGTCGGCCAGTTGATCAACTGTACGGGCAACGATCCTTGGATCGCGCGCATTATCAATTGAATGTGCAATGAGACGTGACAGAGGACCTAAAGTCGAGACAAGCGGACGCGCAGCTATTGCAGTTACAATAGCAAATGTAGGGGAGTCTGCCGACCATCGAAACTGTTTTCCGGGAGCCTCGACGATATCTTGATCAATAGATCCCAAGAAATATCCACCCTCGAGACCCTCCGGGGACAAGTATGCCGATTGAAGCATGGCGGGAAGTAAGCGATCATAATCAATCTTGCTTCTCTCAAGATCCGATAAGAGCTCGAATGTGTAATTCAACACCATGGTGATACACTGCGCATCGATACCAGCCTCGGGACTCAGTTCCTCCAACGCTAGTTGTGCCGCAGTAGCGAGCGCAGACTCAAGTTTGATTCGAATATGCCGCGGCAGACCCTGACGATTCTGCCCCTCGAATCCCATCAGGATACCACCCAGCAGGAGTGTATGCCGCCATCGCGGGGACTTGTCATCAGCGCCCTCCGCAATGGCCTTCACCCAAGCATCGCACTCAATTTTGCGATTCCTTCCATATGGTATCCGCGGCTCATCGGTAGTATCATTCTGCAAGACAGCAATAGCAGCAGTATTGAAGACGCTAAGGATCTTGCGGCAAGCATGGAGGTCAACGGGCTGACTCCAGAGCGAGGGAGCGGTAAGAAGTTGAGAGGCGAGTAGAGTCAAATTCAAGGGATTCCCTAGCATAGACAGGAAGCTGGTAACTGTAGGAAGAAGACTGATGATATAATTAACATCACATTCACATTCACGCCCAAGTCCGTGGTCGGAGTAGATAACACTTACCCAGCAGCATCCTGGAAGCTAGAAGTCGCCTGCAGCGACCGCAGCAGCGTAGCCAGAGAGCGTTCCGTCGCCATTGAAACCCAACCAAAGAGAAAAGAAATCCAAATGCGCCCAGACAGAGGCTCACATCGCTCAGGGAGGTGAGATGATCAACCGCGGAGAACCCCAGACGCAGCCGAGGTCCGGGTCTGGCAAACAGTGCAAACAAGCATCGTCAGTGGACTTTCCTTTTCGCGACGCGGTTACTTTCTATACAGACACACCCGAGCTCATATATCTCACGGCTTTATTCATCTTTCTAGACGATGCTTCGATGATTGATATTCGCTGCAGCTGAACCTGCGCGGCCGCTTCGCCCATGGCTAATAATCGCGTTCCGATCAACTACGAAGTGCCGTCGTTTCCTTCGTTGTACGATTTCTTGCCGTCGCATCATCAGCAAGCTTACTATCTATACTACACGACGGATATTTGGCGCTTTACTTTATTCTGGACGCTTATTTTCTATGCGGCGACTCATCTGACTGTTGCTGGCTGTGCGATACTGACACATTGCCGTAATTGGAGTGTGATTTGGATTGTGCCTTTGGTATACAGCTTTATTGCGGGGCTACAAGGACTCTTCGCTGGGAGTATAGTTGGGCTTGTGTGAGTCTATCTTTTACATCTTCGGCCTGGGGGGTGGGCAGCTGACTTTGGAATGATAGCCTCGGTGCGGTGTATGAAGCGGGCAATTTCAGGATGTCGACTTGGCTGCCGATGATATGGGGCGGTGTCAATGTCATGGTCCTTGTTGTGACCAGTTTCCCGATGCAGGGTGGTCTTTAAGTCATTGAAGGCTACTCGAGGTCATGTTCCTTCAGCGTACTACATTACAACAAAACGTGGGCTACAACATGCAACGCACCTACGGACTCGCGATATTCTCAACACAACAATCCCATTGGCGAAGCTTGAACTTCGAAATACCCGGAAACCTATTATACAGCTGGGAAATGATATCTCAAATAGCGCCGTTACCCGCGTCAAAGTGGCCATGCTATAAGTCCTTTACGCCAAAGCAAACCGATCGTGCATTGCAAACAATAGCCGATCTCAACTACCTCCGATTTCCATCGGGCATGCCGCCGCCCTGCAGACCAGGCAGACCGCCGAATCCAGGGAAACCAGGGTTTTGTGCTATGGCCTGGAGATTGAGGTTGGGTGGCATAGGGAAACCCTGGAGCTGCTTCTGCAGTTGCACCAAATCCATCTGCGGCATTCCTTGAGGCATACCCGGTGGCATACCTTGCGGTGGAGGGAATGGCATTTGCTGGTTGGGTGTGTTCGACTGCGAAGGCGGTTGTTGAGTGGACATGATTGCGGCCAACCGACCAGGATCCATCCCACCCATGACGCCAGCCATTCCAGGTGGAGGAGGCTGAGCTCCGCCAATGCCAGGTAGCAGGCCTGGTCCGTCAGGTTGGCCGCCCGGCGCACTTTGAATGCCCGGTAGAGCGGGACCGCCAGGTCGTCGTTGGTCAACGAGACTATCAGCTTCGTCCTGCATCTCTTGCTCCTCTTCTTCGCGCATCTGTTTCCGACCGAACCCGCGGCTCCATGTGCCCTGGGCTTCTGCGGCCTCTTCACCGATATGGAATCGGTCTTTCATGTAACTAGTCTCACCGGGTCGAGTCCGAGACCAGAATCGAGTAAAGTTATCTTTAGATCCCGAGGCCAGAATATGGCCCAGAGGATGCCAGTCTAATGACCAAATCGTAGCCCCGTGAGCGTACTGAATCTTGTGTGCTGGGTAGATGACTTGGGCAGGTGTATTCGCGGGGTCTGGACTGTCGTAAGGTGCCACAGTGGGAATCACACCACTGGGCAGGTTGGGCTCATCGAGGAGGTAGTGATATAGCGATCCATCTTCAGCACCAGTCGAGATGAGGTTGCTATGAATCGGGTGCCATGTCAAGGAAGAAACCGGCTTCTCGTGGCCCCGTAGAATGCAAATATCGCGCATCATCCGCAAATCAAACACCCGCGCCGTCTGATCACGAGACGAAGTAGCAAGGAGATTGCTGTTCACCCGCGAGAACCGCGTAGATGTAACAGTGTTCTTGTGGCTGTGGAGTGTCGTCAGACAGCGAGCAGTACGCGGATCCCAGAACTTGACCTGGTGATCCTTAGACCCAGAAACAAGCAACCCCTTCGTCGGATGCCAGTCACAGGACTTGACATCCCAGTTATGTCCGGTAAGTGTCGTGTCCGCCGTTCGAGTCGTAAAGTCAAAGATCTTGAGGGTTGTATCGTCGGACGCTGAAAGGAACTTGGTATCGCTGGGTGCCCAGGCTAGGTCTCGAACAGCGTCGTGGTGCGCGTCATCGATCGTCTCAACGTTGTTGAAGTTAGGTCGCCAGTACTTGATATCGCCTCGTTGTCCGCCGGAAATCAGCCAATCCTGGCTATGAGCCCATGCCAGCGATGTCACGCCAGCCTGTATTTGATCGTAATGTGCCTAAACCGAGAAACGGGCATCGTTAGCAAGATCCCTCATCCACAGACACTCTGTAAATACGCACATCCATAACGGTCTCGAAGTTAAACGCCGTTCCATTCCATAGCATAAACTCGCCCGTATGGCCACCGGTCAACAGTCGCCTTCCCTCGGGGGTCCATCGCACCACGACAATGGGCTTCTTTGATTTTCCGATAGACTGGTGTAGGTGTCGTACGGGGATCGTATCGACGGCAGAAAATGGTCGCGCCATCGGGGGAAGAACCTTCACACGTCAGTCTCTTTGTCCGGAGCCAGTAGAATTCATGCGACACATACATCGACCGCGAAGCTAGCGCTCGGTCGCTCGGTCTCTAATCGATGGCTGCCCTTATAACGCGGTTGCCGTGTGCGCATCCATTGTACCATCGACGAGCCATAATCGGTGACGAGTCCTGTGGGTGTTAGTAGACTCAGGTATCTCCGAAAGAAGGGCATTGCACGTACGTGGCCGTCGCGGTCCGGCTGGACCTTCGAAATTCTTGTTAAACCTCCCGAATTGGCCGTCGCCTCCGTGCTCCTCATAGTAAGCCATAACTGACAAGCTTATGGAGAACGGTCGAGATGAAGCGGAAGTCAAAGTCAACAAGTGAAGCTATCAAAGAAAAAAGCGGAGGGAGCTCGGGATGGCAGTATCCGCTGATTGGTTATGCGCTATGATACCTGCACCCCCGCCATGTCTATTGACCGTTGGGATTTGGACTTTTGTCTTTCTAACTCTTCTTTCTTCTTTTTCTTCTCATTGTCATGGACAATTGTCATTGTGGTCTTGGGGTTAGCTTGTTCTGAGATACCATCCTGATCTTTCGGTTCGGTTTGCTCGGAGCTTAGCTTGGGCCCTTCGACTCTCCCCAACTCTGCCAACTTCCAACCGCCAAGGTTGCAAGGGTGTCAAAATGGCCTCTCTGACTGAAGCTATCACGACCGCTCGTGAAGAGTCGTCCAACTTCACTAATGGTATTGTCTCTGGAACCGAGTCTCCCCCGTCAAAACCCAAACGCAGTAAATACCGCCATGTAGCTGCGTATCACTCAAAGCTACAACATTCCAGCCTCAGTCGAGATGCAGAGACGACGCCCAGCTTTTTGGGTTTCAGAAACCTCATGGTGCTGGTCCTCGGTAGGATTGCCCTGGAGATACCGAGTATATGCAATAGCTGATCTCAAACAGTGGCGATGAACTTGCGACTGATTATTGAGAACTTCATGAAAGTGAGTGATTCGAATGGCTCAAAATTTTGATTCGGACTAATACCTCGTTAGTATGGAGTTCTTATCTGCATTAAATGCCATGACTATCGCAAACAAGATCTCATCCTCGGGTCTATACTGTACGCATCAGTACCATGCCACCTGCTCGTGGCATACATAATCGAGCTATCAGCCGCTACGGCGGCGAAAGAGACAGTGGGGCGCCAGAAGAAGACAGAGAAAGAGAAAGAACACGATCAGAAAGTGTTCCAGTCAACCTGGCCATACACGGCTTTCCTGCACACGCTGAATGCCACGCTGTGTCTCGCAGTGACCAGCTTCGTGGTGTACTTCTACATTCACCACCCAGGCATTGGCACACTCTGCCAGCTTCATGCGATCATCGTGTGGCTAAAGAATTGCTCTTATGCCTTCACAAACCGAGACCTCCGTCTCGCGCTGCTCAATCCCGCTGCAGACCCTGGTTTACCCGATATCTATTCCTCATGTCCATACCCGAGGAACATCACTATCAAGAACCTAGCATACTTCTGGCTTGCCCCGACACTCGTCTATCAGCCAGTCTACCCGCGCACTCCATCGATCAGGTGGTCCTTCGTCGCGAAACGCCTGGCGGAATTCGTCGGTCTGGCCATGTTCATCTGGCTTCTCTCCGCGCAGTACGCCGCGCCTGTCCTACGCAACTCAATTGACAAGATCGCTGTAATGGACATTGCCTCGATCCTGGAGCGAGTGATGAAACTATCTACCATTTCCCTAATCATTTGGCTTGCCGGATTCTTTGCATTATTCCAAGCTCTTCTGAACGCCCTGGCTGAAGTCATGCAATTTGGAGACCGTGAGTTCTACACCGACTGGTGGAACAGCTCTAGTTTGGGTGTATATTGGCGCTCGTGGAATCGGCCTGTCTACCTATTCATGAAGAGACATGTTTTCTCGCCGTTGGTTGGCCGTGGTTGGAGTCCTTTGGCGGCGAGTGGGATGGTTTTCACGTTGTCTGCTGTTCTGCATGAAATGCTTGTCGGCATTCCCACGCATAATTTCATTGGTATGTTCTTCGTGTCCTTGTTGACATTGACTGGCACGTATGCTAACCAAGTCAGGCGTTGCATTCTTTGGAATGATGTTCCAGCTGCCATTAATCGCCCTTACTGCGCCATTGGAGAAGGTGAAGGGGCCTCAGGGCAAGGTTATTGGAAATTGTATCTTCTGGGTTAGTTTCTGTCTTGTTGGTCAGCCACTTGGGGCGCTGTTGTACTTCTTCGCCTGGCAAGCCAAGTACGGAAGTGTGAGCCGCATGCGCCCTGACATGCCAACAGTAGTTTGAGGTTTTTGGTTTTTCCCATATTTGATCATTTTGCTGCCTCGGATATATGTTGAGATATTTGAGATATCAAGCCTTGTCTGGTTGTAGCTCGTCTGGTTGTAGCTCGTTCTGGAATTGATCTTAGTACAACTGGAATGTGATCATACATATTTACCGCTGCTTCTTTGTGCGCCCTCGTAAAACGATGAATATATACCTCTCACTTTCCGGGAGTTAGATCATTGTTCCTTTGAAACCCAAGAGTTGGTGTGAAGGTATTCTCCTGAATATAGACAAGTATATACATCTCGAAATGCCACTCATCATAATGACATACCTTCACGGTATAAAAACGTCACATCTCACCCCTTGATTTATAAATCCTACAAATCCATCCTAAATAGAAACGTGTCATAAACGGGGACGAAGACGGCCGAATTGACACCCCGACGGAGTTGAGCCCCTTAACCCCGATCCTCGCATATAAAGCCAGGTTGCTAGCACATCACAACGCCATCAACTGACATCACTTCTCTCCAATCATGGTCGCAATCATTGTTCCTGGCAACTACGGGTATGCTTTATCTACAATCATCCCAACCTCCAATTTATATACTAACGCGTCCAGTGCCGTCATCGCCGTCGCCCTCGGTGCCATCCCTGTCTTGGGCTTCGTCCATGGAATTATCACTGGCAAGCAGCGCAAGGGAGCTAAGGTGCCTTACCCGCACAGCTACGCCACCATTGAGCAGTGCAAGGAGAATGTGCGTATACCATTTACCCCATTAGAAAAGACTTAGACCTCAGCCTCCCTTCTGTCCATTCATTCCCTACATGCCCAGTATCCAGACCCCAATGGTCCCCAGATGAACTATACTAACAATCCTCAGCCCCTAGCCGAGAAATTCAACTGCGCCCAGCGCGCCCACGCCAACTTCCTCGAGAATGCCCCCCAGACAATGTTCTTCACTATGGTCGCAGGCCTGAAGTACCCCGAACTGGCCGCCGGCCTGGGTGCCCTGTGGGTTGTGTTCCGTGCTCTCTTCCTCCACGGCTATGTGTATGGTGGCAAGGCGCAGGGTATGGGCCGTCTGCGTGGTAGTCTCTTCTGGCTGGTGCAGGGTGCGCTGTGGGGATTGAGTGTTTTCGGTGTTGGACGGGATTTGCTTGACTTCTAAGCGTCCTTGACAGTAATCATTGGACTTGATGTATTTATATGAATGTTAAGTGAATGTCAAGTGAATGTAAGATGAACATGAACATGAACATTGGATACAGCCTCCGTGGGGATGTGGCGGCTCCACTGGCAGAAAAAGTTCCCCGGTTGACTTGGACTTGCTTCATTCTTCTCTTCTCTCTTGAACTCGGATCAATTGTATTCTAAAACGGGACTCGTCTATCTACCTAGACAGCAATCTCATTTCCTACTCTCAATCCCTCAATCTATACCCACCGCTTCTTGACCCCGCCAACCCCGCCATGTCGTCCAAGTCGCAATTGACCTATGGCGCCCGCGCCAGCTCGCACCCCAACCCCCTCGCTCGCAAGCTCTTCCAAGTTGCCGAAGAGAAGAAGAGCAATGTGACCGTCTCAGCCGACGTAACCACGACAAAAGAGCTCCTCGACCTAGCCGATCGTACGTAACCGCAATCCAACCCAGCAACCAACCCACCCACCACTAACACAACCAAGGCCTGGGCCCCTACATCGCAGTGATAAAAACCCACATCGACATCCTCTCAGACTTCAGCCAAGCAACAATCGACGGCCTAAACGCCCTAGCAGCCAAGCACAACTTCCTAATCTTCGAAGACCGCAAATTCATCGACATCGGTAACACCGTTCAAAAACAATACCACAATGGCACCCTCCGCATCTCAGAATGGGCCCACATAATCAACTGCTCCATCCTGCCGGGTGAAGGCATCGTCGAAGCCCTCGCGCAAACCGCCCAAGCAACCGACTTCCCCCACGGCAGTGAGCGCGGCCTCCTCATCCTCGCCGAGATGACCTCCAAGGGCTCCCTCGCCACAGGCGCCTACACCTCCGCCTCGGTCGACATCGCCCGCAAGTATCCCAGCTTCGTGCTGGGCTTTGTGTCAACCCGCTCGCTGGGCGAGGTCGAGGCTGAGGTTGCCCCCGTCGATGGTGAGGACTTTGTCGTCTTTACTACTGGTGTCAACCTCTCTTCTAAGGGTGATAAGCTGGGTCAACAGTATCAGACGCCTCAGTCTGCTATTGGTCGTGGTGCTGACTTTATTATTTCTGGGAGGGGTATCTATGCGGCTGCTGATCCTGTTGAGGCGGCTCGTCAGTACCAGCAGCAGGGTTGGGAGGCGTATCTTGCCCGTGTTGGGAAGCAGTAGATGCATATACATATCATATTCATATACATGTAGGTGATTCTTATGCATAATGAAAATTCTATTTTGATTGCGTGCTGTGGAAAGTATCTTTTCTTTTGCTCTGTTCTTCTGCTCTGTTCTTTGCCACTTTGGCGCTTACACTTACATCATGGGTGCATGGTCCACGAGTCTTTCATGTAAGGGAGTGCCACATGTGAGCAAGTAAGGAGCTGAGCTTTGGATCGGCAATTTCCCGCGCGTGGTGGAAGGTATGTTTCAGATCGAACATCAAACTCGGAGCTCGAACCTCGCAGCCAAGATGCGATGAATCATGCCATGATAAGTTATTCAAAGTAAAGCATAGATAAGCATATTCCAAGACCGTTACCGTGCCAAGTAGCTAACTACTGTAAGTGACTTAAGTAGTATCCCGAGCTCGGCTAACGCCCAGGTAGAGATAAGAGTTAAGGCTCCGGAAGCCACGGGGCAGCCACCCGTGGTTGGAAGTATGAACACCCGCAAGCGGTCGAAATCTAGGGACCTCCATTGACGTATTAACTTCTACCAGCATGTGCAGCACATCCCAGATTCCACACCGACATGGAATATCCGTCCAGCTCTCGAGCTGGGAGTTACAGGGTAGTTCCCGGGAAACTGCCGATCCTCCCACCCCCTCTCAACATGGCCCAATGAGAACATCCACAACTAACCCCAGATATTCTTATCGACTCCACCGAGGTCATTGATAGGAAGCATAAAGATAACAAGTTCCAATGCGCATCCCTGACTGCGGAGTTCTCACCGTTTTTTACCTTATTTAGATAGCTCCCCGCTCTTTTCTCTTCTTCGTTTCTACATAGCATTGAGATTGAGATTGATATTGAGATTCAGACACCTACAGTAGCTGGAACTGACCAGGTTCTGTTCCATCTCTTGACCTGGACTTGACCTCCCCCACCCTCCATTTATCCATCTCTCGTCTGTAATCAACCGTCAAAATGTCCGAAGAAAAATCAATCGGCATATCCTCGGGCGTGGACCCAGCCCTCGACATTGAACGAAGCAAACGTGTCGACCCAACTATGGAGAAACACTCTCACGACGCCGACGAGGCCATGAAAGTCTTTGATGAGATGCAAGGCGAAGCCATCGAACTGGATGAATCGACGAACCGGCGCTTATTGAAGATTATCGATTGGCATATGATGCCCATCATGTGTTGTATCTACGGCATGAATTATTTGGATAGTATGCTTCCCCCGCTTCTCCACCTCCATCTCGGCTTGATCTGCATCTCCACGCGCGACGTCCAATGATATTCGGATTGATGCTAATGCTCCTTGCTCTTTATAGAAACGACTCTATCTTATGCGAGTGTCATGGGCATTAAGGATGATCTTGATCTTCATGGGGATCAGTATCAGTGGTTGGGGAGTTTGTTTTACTTTGGTTTGTTTTCCTTACTTGATCTCGCTCTTGCTTGCTTGTGTTCTGACCGTTTGTGATAGGATACCTCGCGTGGGAATATCCGACCAACCGTCTTCTTCAGCGTCTTCCTCTCGGCAAATATTCCGCTGCTTGTATTTTGATCTGGGGGTTAATTCTTTGCTGTTTTGCTGCTGTTAAGAACTACTCTGGTGCTATTGCGATTCGGTTTATGCTTGGTGTTTTTGAGGCTGCTGTTACGCCTGGTTTTGCTTTGTTGACTTCTCAGGTATGGATATCCCCTCCACTCCCCAACCTCTACTAACACCCTCAGTGGTACACAAAACAAGAACAAGGAAGCCGCGTCAACATCTGGTTCTCCTTCAACGGCGTCGGCCAAATTCTCGGCGGAGTAGTCGCCTACGGCATCGCCGTCGGAGCCGAAAAGCACGGCTCAGCAATCGACCCCTGGAAAATCGTCTTCCTAGTAACAGGTCTACTGACCATCGTACTGGGCTTCGTCTTCCTATGGATTATCCCGGATAACCAGCTCAACGCGCGCTGGCTAAAGAAGGAAGATCGCATTCTGGCCGTTGCCCGCGTGAGGGTTAACCAGCAGGGTATTGGCAACAAGCATTTCAAAATGTATCAGGTCAAGGAGGCATTGCTTGATCCTATGACTTGGGCTTTCTTCTTCTATGCGCTTATTGCTGATATTCCTAATGGTGGCATTACTAATTTCTTTAGTCAGTTGGTAAGTTAACACAGCTATCTATGATCTATGGTCTATGACCGTGAATATAATACTGACACCGTCTAGATCAAAAGCTTCGGATACGACGAGAAACAAAGTCTGATCCTGGGTGTTCCTGGCGGCGCTGTGGAAATCGTCGCTCTACTTCTCAACGGCTGGGTCGGTCATATCACCGGCCAACGTATCCTCGCCAGTTTGGGTGGCCTTGTCGCCTCGATCGTGGGCATGTTGCTTATCGTCGCGCTACCCCTGTCCAACGATGTCGGTCGCTTAATCGGCTACTATCTCACCCAAGCTAGCCCGACACCCTTTGTGGCCTTGTTGTCACTCATCTCTTCCAACGTGGCAGGATACACGAAGAAGACGACCGTCGCAGCTTTATACCTTATTGGATATTGTGCAGGAAATATCATTGGTGAGTGGATCTCGGAAAAACAATACCACACCGACACAAAGTGTCAAAATTGGAGTGGATTGTGCATTGTGGATTGTGGGTTGTGGATTGCGCTGACCTCCGTACTTGTATACTTATAGGTCCGCAGACATTCCGTCCTAAGGACGGACCCCGCTACGTCCCCGCTGAAATCACCATCATTGTTTGCTGGGGTGTGTGTCTGTTCCTGCTGGTCGGGGTTTGGCTTTGGTATCGTCGTGAGAACAAGCGCAAGACGCTGTTCACTGCCCGACCGGAGTATGTGAGACTGGAGAATCAAGAGTGAGTGTTTTCTTTAACTTTGCGATATCGGCGCGTGTTTCCTAACGTCCTGCAGGTGGCTTGATTTGACAGACCGGGAGAACCCCGAGTTCCTGTATTCGCTGTAGTCCCGCATGTTCCTTACAGTAAGTTAGGTATTTGAGTTAACTAGTTAGTTCATTATTTGCTGGTCAAATGAAAGTTATTGGATTTGTTCCACGTGCGACAGTATGACGGTGTGTAGATCCCGTAGAGTTTTCCCAACTAAATGTGTTAGGGTCTGCTAGGGTCTCTGCAAACAAGATTTAGTGTCTTGACAGCCTACTGTGAGACATGATCGTCCAAACTGACTTTATATTTGCAAGTGACAAATTATTTAGTGAGGGGTTCGTTGGAGGATTTCAGTGCTTACATTTGGACATATACAGCCTTCCACTGTGTTCTAGATTGCCTAATATATTATTATAGTAGTGTAAGACACTCAGTAGACTAATTCTAGCCCAATAGACAATAGTCAAACCCCTGCATCCACTGCAGGGGAAGGGCCGATCATGGCCAGACAACTTAGACGCCGAACCCCCCACTAAGAAGAGAAGCGGTGTGCACAATATGAAATACACTTCTTTCTGCTCTTTTTACTCTTTCTATTCTTTGATCAGATTTCTTTCTTTCTTTTTCCCTTCCCTATTCCTCCAAGATGGAGTGCACCCCTCCTTTAAATACTCAACCCTAATCTTATCATACCCCTGCAGCCCTGCAGGTGAGACCAACACGGGAACCAACGTACCTGTGACCCGTGCTCGGTCTATAGACATTCCCATATGGCTTCCGTCACATGCCTCCCTGTCCACATGAAGCCTCGTCTAGACATCAAGTCCTGCCAGCCCATCATTACTGAGATTACACAATGTGTCGAGTTCACTGAATCCACTACATCGCCATCTGAGATGTCTCCTAGAGTGAAACGGATCGACCCGCCAGGTACAGATACAGCTACAACAGCTAGAGGTACAGGCCCAGACACGGGTGCCAAGTCGCCAACCTCGCCAATACAAACAAAGCGTAGCCGGCGGGAAACAACATCACGGCCAGCATCCGCTACAAACTCAAGCAGTCACAGTCGAGGCCACAGCCAGAGCCACTCGCGCTCTGCCTCACGCAGCACGGTGCGATCAAGCCCAAACAGTCGACGCAGCTCTTTACACTCAGCACGGCGAACTGTCCCAAACCCAGCCATCGTACCAGTCCCAACGGCTCGGACTTCACCACAGGAACGGCGAGAGTCCCTGATAGCTCTACATCGAGAATCATGTCGACTATTCCAAGACGAGGCCTCAACCTCGAAAGACCCCTCGGCAGAAGAACATATACATACACGACCACGCCAACCATCCCTACATCGAAGAGCATCGTCGACAACCTATCCGCGCCGGGATTCGCGCGCATCAGAAGGAAAGGGAAACTCAGCGCCATCCTCCCCGATCGCGCCTTCTGCTTCCTTCGCCAGCTTCCGTTTTGAGCCTGAGGCTGCGCCGCCGTTCCTCGCTTCTAGGGATCGATCCTACACTATGCCTAGCCATAGTAACGCTAGCCCAGCGAAACACCATCACAGTCCATCGACTTCATCTATTCACGTCCCGGCGACGGTGATGGAGTGGACTTCTCCCTCGACTCGCCGGCGCGAGTACGAGAAGATCGATCGGGCGAGTAGTGGTATGCGCGGTCTTTGGCGTCGTGTTGCACCGCGTTGTTTACAGACTCGCGAGTCGAGGACTTTATTCTTTGAAGAAGGGAAGCACGAGCGGGAGGGCAGCGTGCGACGGTTCCGCATGGATATTCCTGAAGATGAGGAAACGGGGAAAGAACCTGTTTCCCCGACTGGGAAGTCGCAGGTGCAGCTTTTGGATTTTCTGAGCAAGCATACAAGCTCAGATTCCCGCTCGCGGTCGAATTATACTCCCTCACCTGATGGCTCACGACGACGCTGGGCGTGTCTCCGCTCTAAGACTTCTCCTCTGCCTAACGCCTAGACCCCGTACCCTACCCTACCCTCCTTCCCCGTTTCCGTTTGAGATTGAGATCGGGGCTTCTTATCATTATCATCATCATCCATTCGATATTTTATTGATACATCCATACAGAACATGCGAGCCAGCACCGGTGCTGCTTGCTTCAATACCCCTACTGCGTTTGCCCCTCCCTATGATACCATGATTCCAGAGTGATGATTCAATATTGCATTGCATTGCACAGCATCAGAATATTCTCCCCCTGCATCGAGTGGCCCAGTGGTCGTCTCTTTTTTGTTCTCTCTTTGGTTTTGGTAACTAGTATGGCCTTTGTCTCATATCCTTACCTCTAATTTTTCTAGTTTCTTTTTCTTTTTCTTTTTCTTTTTCTTTTGCATTTGTGTTTGCATTTGCTCCGCTCGTTGAAGACTAGATACCCCGATCTTTATTGAAATGCTGTATATAGCTTGATACGGTAAATATGTTATAGCTTGTTGATATTTGTGGCTAATCAACTGATCTTCATATTTAAAACACTTGACAGTAGTCGACGGGAATTACATATAGAATATAGTGACCTGTGAAGATGACGCCGAAAATGACAGCTTCTGGCGCTAGAAACCGCCCGCTTTTCCACCGTAACTTTCCAGCGGCAAGCCGCCGCCCGACCGCCCCATCACCCTGGACCACCATTATTCTGCCATGTTGGCGTTGGGCCTCAGCAAGATCGATTGGGAGCCATAACCCCACCGAGAAACTGACGGGCAGAAAGCAGCCTGGGGCCAAAGTTTGGGTCGGGTCACGGGACTCGAGCTCTTTCTTTCCCAACCTTGTATCCTTAGTTTTTCTCTCCTCCGTGCATCTCACGGAGCTTAATCTCATCAGTTTATGGTCCCCATTCATCTCTTCTGTTCGTTGCAGCATCAGTAAACCCTCCAGCTGTAGTTGTGGAGTGGGTGGAGTCACGTGAGATCCACCACTCTCGGGCTCTCAGGGCGTCGGATCTCTCCCGCCAGAAACTGCACCGGGTACGGGTCGGCTAACACCCCGGGGCCACCTACCTACGGGTATCAGCGAGGTCCCCGCCTTGCAGCCTCCGTAGCCGCGAATGTCAACCTCACTATCACGGGGCTTAAAGAAAATTCCTAGTTTCCCATGACTGACCCAACAAGGTAAGTCCTTCGATATGGCATATAAGATATTCTTTAGTCACGGTCTCATTCTCAAAGGGCTGCCTCGGCATGTTTGCGATGTAGGAGACAGAAACTCAAATGTGCAGGTCCCAGTAAAAGACCCTGCCAACGATGTCGGGCAAATAATGCGGAATGTATCTTTGTTTCCCCGAGAGCTGCGCAAAGGAGATCAGGGTCCCCGTACGTCTCTTTTTCCTTGTCGTGGCACAGAGTGCTGATCGTATGCCAGCACCAGAACAGACCTTTTGGAGCAGCGATTAGATTCTCTGGAGCAAGAGCTTCGGTCGGAGATTCAGGAGCTGCGGGCCTCAATTGTGAGAAGTCCGGAGAGCAACCGAATCCGCCTACTCGCACAATCCTCCTCGCCAGCCCCACTGGTGGGCTTCTCGCAACAGGAAGCTATACCTTCGACATCATGTGACGAGACGTTTGATATCACCCCGAACAACATCCCTGTGGAAACTGAGTGGAGCGAGTTATATGCATTCTTCGTCGCAAATTGCCGTGATTTGATCGCTGTCGTAGATGATCAACTATGTTCAACTGAGGAGACCGTGAAGCACAACCCCTTAATGTCGGCCGTGATAAGCGCCATCGCATCAAAGGCTATCAAGCCTGAAAGACATCATTATTATGCTTCGCGAGCCGATCAACTGATAAAGGGCACTTTCCAAGGACCATTACCTGATATATTAAGCGTGAACGCGATGATGATATTCGCGGCTTGGGCAGGCAGAACACGACTTTATGGGTACATCGCCTCAATATGCGCCGAGCTTCAACTACACGAGGATGCTATGATCTTGAGCGACCCATCTACTACTCACACACCTGAGCTTGTTGCGCGTGCCAGGTGCTGGCTCACACTATGCTGCTTAGACTTACAGTAAGCTAGATCGAGTCCATGCTCTCCAGAGCAGCTCACATCTAACCCTTCGCAGAACCAATCTCAGCAGACCTTTCTTGTTTAACGAAATGAGAGACTGCCTGTGTCATTCTACGAGCCTCCTCACGTCTCCATTTCGTCGCCCTGTAGATGATCGGATTTGTACGTACATCGAGGGCTTCAGAATAACAGGTAAACACTATACATCTAATCCTGCAGGATTAACTTATGCTAATATTTTAATAACTAGCCGATCTTACAGCAAAATTGAAGAATTCTCAATTAAAATCCCGACCCTTGTTGCCTGAGGTTGCCGGACTTCTCACATTCGCTGACCAAGATGTCGAAAAATGGTTTCACGCTGCGAACAACAGACTTCATCCGCTTTACCAGACATTCTCGGATAGACAAGATCGAAACCGGCTTCTTCTACCATTCTGTTTCATGAAACTGTGAGTGATATAGATCAATAAAAACCTTCGGACTGACATGGGCTAATATCCTTTCCCACAACCGAAGATACATTAACGGCTTAGTACTCCAAGGATTAGAATCACCCCATGATTTGGACTCCGACCCAGCTCGGATAGAGTATATACAAAGGGCCTTCGAGACCGCCTGTCTTATAATTCGGTCTCAATTTGACTCGACACGCCTTAGGAAGTCCTTCAAATTCGCGATGGTAAGCGTTACAGAAAGCAAGTTAGCAGCATTCCCTTGTCCAGCTCTGATTGCATCTCATAGGACTACATTGCGATACCGACCAATTCTGCTATCAGTTTCATTTTGAAGATCTTGCCTCTAGCTCATATGCATGTTGACTGCAAAAAGGCTCTCATTAGGTTGCGGCAGACTGCCGAGATCTTTGCGGAAGCAGGTGCCTTAGAAACTGCCAGTGAGATCCTGCGGAATGTTGACAGGATGGCATTCCTACCGCAACCACATGGAAATTCAAGAGTATCTGACAACTCAGTGGGTGAGATCTCACAGAATGCGCTGTTCGATATTCCAGGTCTCCTTGCCGAGATGGTAAGATGGCCCCATAAACCAATTACATCTGGGCAATTTTGATAGCAATGGGGCTGACAACGTCGACAGACATGGGATAATGAGTTTCCTGCTATGGGAACGTTCTCTTCTGCTTGAAAAGCCCGAGGTGCTCAGAAACAACTTCTGTAGAACAACATCCAGGGGAAAATTCGCTGAACGCTGGATATCTTGTGGATGCTGCGTCAATCGTACTTCAGTCAAATTCATGGAACATTGTTTAGCATGTACCTAGCGGCAGTCACATACTGAATATCATTCATTCGGGTGAAGCAATCCCCGGCAAAGCCATGGCTATAGCTGCCTAATCACCCCACCAAAGAAGGCACTAAAGAAATATCTCCAATTGAATAATGATTGCTCGCTATTGAGATCGTTATCTGGCGGACCGATCTTCGAGGTTCGGATTCGGCCGGGCCGAAGCCGAGGCCGATTTCGAGTCTGGTTCGAAGGCCACCAATCGCATCCTGCTGAGAAGGGGAGATCAGTACGTGTGATAAATGTGTTTCAGTCTGAAGATTGTAAAATTATTAGTTAGCCACCGGAGCAATTGGTTACTTGATCTTGCATGGTTTATGGATGCCAGCTTTGAATTTCTCTTCACATACTTCTCATACTTCCTAATTCCAACATGACATTTCAAACGACCGAGAGGAACGAGGACAATAGCATGGGCAAGCACCACATGGTACCCTCCGTTGTCAACGATGAGATCAAGAATATTCAACAAATCATCGACTCTCAAGCCGAAAGACTATGGGAGATCAACCAAAAGGTACCACCAAAATGCAAAATTTCCTGCGGTCAGCACGAAAGAGCGACGTTTGAAATGCAAGACGCGAAAGGATGGGATGTGAAAGTTGTTGATTATTTTCCTGCAGATTCATAGCAACCCGGAATTGGGCTTCAAGGAGTATTTGGCCCACGACAACATCACCAGCATGCTTGAGGAACTTGGCTTCCAGGTTACTCGTCACGCATTTAAGCTGGAGACTGCCTTCGTTGCCGAATATGGAAATAGTGGCAGGGTCGTGGCTTTCAACGCCGAATATGACGCTCTCCCGGGAATTGGACACGCCTGTGGCCACAATCTCATCGCGATGATGTCTATTGGCGCCTTCTTGGGAGTGGCGGAAATGATCAAGCGAAAAGAGATCTCCGGTCGGGTTCGCCTCGTAGGCACACCTGCAGAGGAGGGTCTCGGAGGCAAGATCCCTATCGTTGCTGCCGGGGCCTACGCTGACGTCGATGCCTGCATGATGGTTCACCCTGGGCCATTCACGGAGTGTGTCGGCTTCGAGGGCGATGCATACATGCCTACCACGGCGAGCATCAAATTCAGTGTTGGGTTCACAGGCAAGACAGCTCATGCTGCCATGGCACCGTGGGAAGGTACGAACGCACTTGATGCCGCCGTGCTGGCATACAACGGTATCGGACTTCTCCGTCAGCAGATGCACCCATCTAACCGAGTGCACTGTGTCATCTCCGACGGCGGAGATCGCCCAAACGTTATTCCAGGCTTGGCTGCCATTGACTGCTATGTGCGATCTCCCTCATTGAAGATGGCGCAAGTGCTCCAAGAGCGGGTGGAAAACTGCTTCAAAGGTGCTGCCCTGCAGACCGGTTGTGATGTAAGTATCCAACTGTAAGTGACCGCCTGACTATTCTGTGTGATGAACAGATTGTTCCTGAGCTTACCTTGCAAAGGAACAACACGTACGCTGATCTTCGACCAAACAAGGCTTTGGCTCGAGGCTACGCGGATGCGATGACCAAAATGGGCTGCCTGGTGAAGTGCGACTTAAATTCAACGGGCGTGGCAGGCTCGACAGATCAGGGTCAGTTAATTTGCCGCATTCCGTCTTGAATGAGTGTTTGGAACTAGATGCAAGTTTCCCAGTGACTGACTGTAGGTCTTAGGCAATGTCACATACGCATGTCCCGGTATTCAGGCATATGTCGGTGTCCCTGCTGGACCGGGATCGAATAATCACACTGTCGGCTTTACTGCGGTAGCGGGGCAGAAGGAGTCGCACAATCTGTGTCTTCATGCGGCCAAGGGCATGGCTGTCACTGCTTGGAACGTTTTAACCAATGATGACCTTGCAGCACAGATCAAAAGCGACTTCGAGGAAGACAGAATAAAGCGTGACTCAATTTGAACGCGGACGGCCAGGACCCGGGTTTTTTACTGGCTCCGCTGGACCTGGCGCTATATTATTGATCTCAATTTATATGTTCACACCTGGTTGGTGAGCGCTCCATATAGTAGATAGTGTCAACATGAGGATTCAGTGTATTGATTAGTATTCAACATGTCCCGTTAAACCTGTCTACTTGGGCGAGTATCGTTGAGAGATACTCAGTGGTCAAGTTACGATGTATTGCAGCATCGTACTTCCAGAATTACATTGCCATATTCTATCTTATCACAGAACGTGTTTCTAATCCGATTCAAGGCAGGCTTCGATCATATGGCTAACCCTAAAGGCATTCCCAGTTTCCAAAGACTAGTATACATAGCGGAACTGGGGCAACTCTCGGTCTGTCTTATCTGTAAGGTTCAAATAGGCTGAAGGCATAGAAGCGCTGTCCTCAGCGTGTTCTCTCGCTGCGGTGGCAGCAGCGTCTCGCTTCCTGTTCTCCCAAATGCAGTAAAATCTTAGCGAAATGCTCAAAATTGCAGAGCAAGCAAAGCAAACAAGAATTCCAGCGAAGCCTGAAGGATAGCTGGGTGCTTCCCTGGCAAACATGATCTGAGGGCCGACAATGTTGCCGAGACAGTACGCCACAAAGACCTGCATGCGTGATCGGAGTCAGAATCAGCACTTTAATACTGCTCAATGATGTGCGAGATGGGAGAGGGAGGGGAAAAACATACCACCGCGTTGACAGTAGATTTCTTGGTAAAGCCGGCTGTGTTACTGGTGATCATCGTCATAGTGAGAGGGAAATTAGCCGAGAACCCAATGATGAGACAATATCCCATGAAGCGAGACCAAATGTGGTCGGCATCAATCTGCCGGATCATGATGGTGCCAATCAAAGCCATGATGGTGTTGAAGGTCATCCAGTAAGTACGAGTGTTTGTCAAATAAGTGCTTCCAAGGGTGGATATCACGACGAAAACCATCTGGAATCCAGTTCCAATCATTTGCACAAGAAGGGTATCAAGGGTGGTGAAGCCAAAACCCTCCACGACAATAGAGGCAAACTATCCAAGAGAAATAAATCAGATGAACCTCATAAACTAACCTAAAGGACATATAAGAACTTACCGAGCCAACGCCTCCATTGGGCACGTTTTGTGTAAATTGGAACAGAGCAAGGAACCAGGTCTTTGGATCCAGCAGAGCTTCAATGACTTGGTATCGCTTGACCTGGTGGCTTTTAATACCGGTTAAGTTATCCTGGACGCGCTCCACGGCTTTGACCCGGTCCTCTTCTGAAAGAAACTTTGCCGTCATAGGGCTGTCTGGAATGGTAAAGTAGCAAATTATTGACCAAGCTAAAGTCGTGCAACCAAAGAGGAGGAAAAGCGCCTGTCAAAGAGGATCATCGGGTTAGTATCGGGGAAATGACATGCAATATATATCGATTGGTTTTCGTACCTTCCATGCTGCCATAGTATGAATGTGCCCAACTGCATATCCCAACAGGCCGCCGACCAGGCCGCCAGTCACATTGCCCATAAACCACGCACTCTGACGAATAGCCTGTTCAGATCTCTTGTACCACATCGAAATAATGATGCTCATAGAAGGAGCAATGCTTGCTTCGACGAATCCTAAAAAGAAACGTGCGGCCCACAAGCCGGACGCATTTTCACAAAGTATAGTCAACAAAAGGATAGCTGCCCAAAGACCCCTTTCTCAAGAAAGTTATGTGTCAGTCAAAAACACGAGTATTCGGAGCTCAACGATACTCACATAGCCGCCGACATGAAGCGGCCAA